CCTGCTGTCCTACCCTCTGTCCGGGGCCGTGTCTCACTATCCTCCATTACTGACCGCTCCACCAGAACCAACTCCAACCGAGAACTCAATAACAGCTAACAGCAGTGTGTCAAGAAAAAATGAACAAACCGTGATTTTAAAAGTGAGAAAAATCTCACATCTCTCCGCACCAACCTGACTGCTTACCTATTGAGGGAGACAATCAACGTGGCATGTCGCAGATACTGATCACAGAATAATAAACATTCTGTTTTCTTTCGACAACAGTACGCGTACCGCTGTTATAATTCCAAATAATTATCAATTCTATTTCAAGGACACTCAGGTCCAACCTAGCTCATGCTAAACTGATGCTAAGAACTCATCACTTTTTCTCTAATTATTTTCTATCCTTGTTTACTTTATTCCGGCTGCCGCTGCTCAACAGTTACGGAACAAATGTGCTCTGCTTTCATGGGTGACTTTTTACATAACAGCATGTTTTTCTGCCTCAAAAACTGAAGCTAGTTCATCACTCCACAGTGTGCCTCGTATCTGATGGCACGCGTGTGTTTACATCTCTGATGCAGAACAGCTGTTGCCTGTCTGAACCGAGAAATACCCAGCGCGCTGAGCTCCAGCAGCGTCTCGGAGCCCAGGATACACACACACCCACACATACACACTCTCCTCTTCCTCACAATCCCACTCAGCACAGCACAATGACTTCCTAGAGCACAGTAACAGCAGAGGAACAATATCCACCATAAAGCAAACAGACAGCATGCTAGAGCTGGATTTAGGTATTTAACACAGATCCGCTGCTGACACAAGTCCTCAACTGTGCACACTGTTCTACTGCAAACTCCTTTGGGATGAAAGGAAGATGAAGCTCCACTGAACACCTTTGGGGCTAACGGTGGTGTGATGAAGCACCACTGAGCACATTTGGAAGTGATGGAACACCACTAAACACCTTAGAGAAGAGCTGGAGTGATGAGAAGGAAAGATGAAGCTCCACTGAATGTGGGATGAGCTGGAATGATGAGGTAGCATTTAACACCTTTGAGATGAGTTGCATTTAACGTCTTTGGGATGAGTTAGAGTGATCAAACACCACTGATCACCTTTGCTAGTAATGGAACAACACTGAACAACTTAAGGAGGAGCTGGTAGGATGGAACATCACTGAACACCTTGGAGTGTTGAAGCCCACTGACCTCCCTTGGGATAAGATGGAAGGATGAAGTTCCACTGAACACCTGAGACAAGTTGGAATGTTGAAGTATCATTTAACATCTTTGGAATAAGTTTGAGTTCAGAACTTTTTTGTCAGTGATGGACCACCACTGAATACCTTAGAAAGGAGCTGGAATGATGAAACCTCACTGACCTCCTTTGGGATGAGTTGGAAAGATGAAGCTCCACTGAACACCTCTGGAAAGAGTTGGAACGATGAAGTTGCATTTAACATCTCTGGGACGAGTTTGAGCACTGAAGCACAACTGAACACCTTTGGGTGTGATGAAACACCACTGAACACCTTAGGGAGGAGTTAGAGGGATAAAGCCTCACTGACCTCATTTGGGATGAGTTGAAAAGACGAAGCTTCACTGAATCTGGGATGAGCTGAAGTGATGAGGTAGCATTTAACATCTTTGGGACGAGTTTGAGTGCTGAAGCACAACTCTACACCCTTTGGAGTGATGGAACACCACTAAACACCTTTGGAAAAAGCTGAAGTGATGATGCGCCACTGACCTCCTTTGGGATGAGTTGAAAATGTGAAGCTCTACTGAACACCTCTGAAAAGAGTTGGAATAATGAGGTAGCATTTAACATTTTTGGGATGAGTTGGATCGATGAAACACCACTGAATACCTTAAGAAAGAGTTGGAGGGATGAAGCCTCACTGACCTTGTTTGGGATGAGACAGAAAGATTAAGCTCCACTGAACACCTCAGCGACAAGTTGGAATGATGAAGGAGCATGTAACATCTTTGGGACAAGCTGGAGTGATGGAACATCACTGAACACCTTTGGTAGTGATGGAACATCACTGAACACCTTTGGTAGTGATGGAACACCACTGAACAACTTAAGGAGGAGTTGGAGGGATGAAGCCCCACTTCATTAAAGATTAAGCTCCACTGAACATCTCAGCGACAAGTTGGAATGATGAAGGAGCACGTAACGTCTCTGGGACAAGCTGGAGTGATGGAACATCACTGAACACCTTTGGTAGTGATGGAACACCACTGAACACCTTAAGGAGGAGTTGGAGTAATGAAGCCCCACTGACCTCCTTGGGGATGAGGTAGAAAGATAAAGCTCCACTGAACGCCTCTGGGACAAGCTGGAATGATGAAGTGGCATTTAACATCAAGTTGGACAAGTTGGAGTGATGGAACACCACTGAACACCTTAAGGAGGAGTTGGGATGAGTTGGAAAGATGAAGCTCCACTGAAACTGTGATGAGCTGGAATGATGAAGTAGTATTTAACATCTTTGGGACAAGTTAGAGTGATGAAACTCCACTAAACATCTTTGGTAGTGATTGAAAACCATGGAATGCATTTAGAAGAAGTTGGAGGGATGAAGCCCCACTGACCTCCTTTGGGATGAGTTGGAAAGACGAAGCTTCACTGAACACCTCGGGGGCAAACTGGAATGACAAAGTCTTATTTAACATCTTTGGGATGTGTTGGAGTGATGAAGCACCACTGATCACCCTTTGAGTGATGAAGCTCCACTGAACTCCTCTAAGACAAGTTGGCATGACAAAGCTGTGTTAAACACTCTTGGGATCAGCTGGAGTGATGAAACTCCACTGAACTTTTTTTGGACAATTTGGAGTGACGAAGCACCACTGAAAAGCTTTGGGTCAAGCTGGAGTGACCAAGCTCCACAGCACAACTTTGGGAGTGATGAAGCTCCACTAAATAACTTTAGGACGAGTTGGACGACCAAGCTCCACTGAACAACTTTGGGATGAGTCAGAGTGAATAAGCTCTACTGAATACTTCAGGGACGACTTGGAGTAATGAAGCACCATCTAACACCTCTGCGACAAGGTGGAGTGTGGTCTGTGATCCAGAACTAATCGGTCAACATCAGTACCTGACCTCACTAGTCCTCCTTGCTCAAAGGTTTCACAGAAGAGTGGAGGCTGTGACTGAAGCAAAGAAACCAACTCATTATTAATACCCCTGACGTTGGAAGAAATGTTGGACGAGCAGGTGCCTGGATGCTTTTGGATTTTCTGACCAGCTCTCCCTGTGTTGTGCAACAGATTCTCTACTTTGGTTCCCTTTGTATGGCTCAGCATTATAAAGCAGATACTGAGTTATAGCTCTCTCTGTACCTTTCAGCGCTGTAGAAAAGATATGGTGCAGTGTTTCTCTCTGCATGTACTGCTACCTTCTCCTAGTCTCCCGATTCAGAGTCAAAAGTTTCTCCCTACCTCAATCCATTCTTACTGAACGCAGAATGAACCTTCACGTAGAACTACTTCCTGGATTAACTGGCATTAATCAACATCCTCTACTTATAGATGTTCAGGTTGAAAGGCATGTTTTACTGTGATGATGTACTGTGATGTGTCTGTGTTGGAGAATGAGAGGTTTGACTGAAGGAGGGAGAAAAGTGTGTTCTGGCTGCAGAAGCAGCAGCCTGGGAGTGGTGGAAATCACACAGGAATTTCGAGTGATGTTTTATGCAAACACCTCTGCGGATCAGGCACTCCAGCGCATTTTAATGATGTCACGTGAGAACTGGGCTTTAGTTGATTGGTTCAACAAAGACCCGTGCATTCATTTGAGCACATGGGGTACAATACGGACAAATACCTATCCTGAAATAATATTCCTGCATACTGCAATCGCAATAACTTCTAAAACACATTCATTGTAGGAATAGTAGGAATACCCTGTATCTACACTCACAGTCCCATTTACTCAGACCCACTTACCCATCATTGATCTACAATTTAAGCCTGCGACAATAACGAAAGTTTAGCTGATGATTAACTGCCACATAAATTGTGATTAACAACTAATTCTTTGTGGTCATTGTGTGCAACTACTTAAGTACAAGCCTAAACTTGGCTGATTAGTTGCTTTCGAGCTGTTGATACTCAGTAACTCCCAACCAACAACAGGTTTCAAGCTCAAATGACCAAACATTGCTCAGCACTGCCCTCCAAAGGTGTGTCAGCGGCAATCAGAGGCTTAGACCCATGACACGTCTCAATAAATGTGTTTTCTGCTTTCTTTTATTTACACGCATTTGCCTCAACCCAACGGATGCAACCAATTACTTCCGCAACATAAACGTGATTTCAAAAGCTAAACATTGGAAAATAACTTTGATCAGCTCAAATAACTGCCCAAACAACCTTTTGAAATCAGAGCAAGAATATTATAATTTAATTTATTTTAGATATTTCTACATTTGTTTTAATTCCTCCAATTTTACATAGTGAAATTGTCGTATTCCACTGCAGATAAACTTGCTTGTTTCAAGAAACAATGCTTAGTGAGAAATATTATAAATATTGACTAGATTTAAGATAATATTACTTGCCAATAAACGCTGAAATGCTGAACCACAAAGTGCACCTGTGGAAAGTGGACCTCACTAAATGGACAATGAGTATAGATAAATCTATCTGTACATAACAAAGTGGCCAGTGAGACTTTAATGAACCAATAATACAACATGGTTAAATATTGGACAGTATTATATGCCTATAATAATTTGTTAGGTTAGACGAACACCTTATGTAATATAAATTTATATACATTAATTGAATTTATATCAACATTCCCAGAAACATTTTTCTGGTGATGTGATTGGTCATGGTGCTCAAAGCACACAGTAAAAAAAAACGTGTATGTGAGGGGGCTCATTTGCACAGCATAGTCATTTGACATATCAGTAATTCAACACTGTTAAGAAACAATGAAGAAACAATGTATTGTGCAGCCCTGACACACTCATACAAACACACACAGTCTACCTTCAGTGGGGTTGACAGCAGCAGGGAGGCTCTCCCAGTGGAGGGTCCACGAAGGGCAGGGGTGCGGGGAGAAGACGGCCTCAATGCCATTTTCCTGAGGAACACACACAGATAAGTCAGATAAGTTACTCTTCAGAGGCCCTCAGGTCTCATCTCCCAACCAAACCCATATATCCAGAAAAGAAAGATACTTCTGACCACTTATTGAACTCACTGTGGGAGTTAGAGAAGCACCTGAGAACTGTCTGCCTCTATTAAAATCAAACTATAAAGTGCATAAGTCCATGGAGGGCCATGGGAAAATTATAACATCCTGATGTTCAAAGACATTTTCAAAATGCACATCATGTACCTCTGCATTTCATTTGGTTTGCTAACAAGTTAAAATGTACAAAATGCTGCAGCAAAACAGTAAAGCCACATTGCTTTATTTTAATTTTCACAAAAAAATAATAACAATAATAATAATAATAATAATAATGTAACAGTAACACATTCAATTCACACTGAATTCAAATTTAATGAAACAGCACTTTTTACAACAGATGTTATCATATTGCTCACCCACAGCTATGTCTATCCTTCTCTAAGAGGCTTACTGAAGGAACTTGAAGAGGTGCACTGGTACTGTGTCATACTGGCTAATGGAGGAAAAAAATGGCAAACATTAATGTTGGTAACAGCTCCCATCCCTCTAGACCACTCAATCAATACACTAATTTATTTTGAGAATGGCCACACAGAAATGACCTGTGAGGAGGTGACAGTGCACTTTAAATGCAGCACTTAGCACAGTCGCATGAGTGCAGGGGAGGGTGCATATGAATATACATATCACAATCACACATAATAGGCAACAGGCAATGAGCCAATTAATTATTTTGATTTTGGATGTGTTGCATATATATATATGTTCCCAAAAAAAACAAAATAAATATGGCTAACAGCCAATTTGGCTGTAAAAAACAGAACTGGCCATTAAATTTCTTGAACAGTGAATCTCTAATAAAACTGTCAAATAACAACTCGCACAATGTCAAACTCTTACATAGCAAGTCTGGTTGTCATTCATGACACACTGAGACATTATCAGTACTTTATTAGCAGCATTTCTGATGGAATCTTAATATCAGCCAAATCACAGTTGCATGCAAAACTTTGAGCACCCCTGGTCAAATGACGTTTTGGTTATTTTCTAAGTAAATAAATAAGTGAACACGTCCTCTACAGAGAACACACTTCTGCACATTTTAAAGAACAGTTACTGTTTATTTGCTGAATGTAACACAATAATAAAACATGAAATGTGGCCCAAAGGTTTTGCCTTGTTAGTTTTTGCCTTGTTAGTCATTTTGCTTTCTTCCAATATGTTGAATTCAGAAAAACTGGCAGGAAGATGCATATTTAAACGTGTTCTCTGTAGAGGATGCGTTCGCTTATTTTCACTTAGAAAATCAACAAAACACGCAATCTGACCAGGCCTGTTCAATTTTTGCATAAAGCTATACATATCACTAAGACCCAAGTATGGACTGATGCTGGCGAACAGACTTGTCAATCAAATCACTTCTTCTGCTGAAGGTTCTGGCAGCCAATCAGAGTTAACGCCACTCAGACCCAGTCTGAAAAATGTGCTGCAGAATTTATAGGCTGACATTATGAGCAGCCTCACTTCAGCCTTTCCCAGACTATCACAGATGAATCTCACTTGTGCATGAGTGAAGCCCGGTGCTCCAGAAAACTGTTCCAGTCATTCAGGCCAACAGTGACCACCATAAAAACTTCTCAATCTGCACGCACAGTCTGGGTGCGCTGTGAGACAGCTGGAGATGGATTCTCAGCGGAGTCGGTAATGGAAGAGGATAAGAGGGTGCATTGCTGATTTGAGACAGGCCCGCCTGATTAGCACAGGCTGCTCCAGCTCAGCAGCAGTGAGGGGATAGAGTGTCACTGTCTGGTGCCAAGTTCACCGTGAACAGTCGACGTGGTTGGGCCACATGGCGCACAGTGGCATTCAGTCAACAGCAAAGAGCCACCAGCAACAGCTGCAGAGCACACCAAACGCCCACAAACACACAGGCTGAGAAGGCCACGGGACGGCTGTGCATTTCACACAGACAGAGTTACACACACACACACACACACACACACACATACAGTATTCAGAGACATAAAAAAGCCCAAACAATATAAATCATATTATCAGAACAACGACAAACCATGTCTTTAAAATGTCACAATATGCTTCGAAAAAGAAGGAAGAGAAAAAAAACTATGAAGTTTGAAGATGGCGAACTGCAATACGTCATACTACGATTACGTCATAATCGGCACATCGCTTTGCTCCCTATTTGCATAAAGTTAAACTTCGCTTAACTTTGTTGCGTCGCTGACTCTGCCTACTTCACCTTGCCAGCGTTCATGCCGCCTCCTGTCACCGGAAATCGGCAGCTTTCACTGCAAAGGAATGATCTCCGGCCGCCTTGTCGAGTCACATCACTGCCGGTGTGAATGAAGGGTTAGTCGACTAAAATCGACAACCAAATTATTTGGCAACTAATTTATTAGTCGATTAGTTGGTGACATCATCACGTGTTTCTCGCGCTAACTAGGAATGTTTTGACGTTACTGCTTACTAGAGAGTTGACAAAAACGCAATGGCAGCCTCGAGAACATATCCTCAAATGTGTGGGAGCATTTCACGCTAAAGTCAGAAAAAAAGGTTGTTAGTTGTGCTGTTTGTAAAGCCAACCTTAGCTGGTTACAGAATCCTCCATGTCGGAGAATCTTAACTGGAAACACATCAGCTTACTGGATGAAAAAGATTCATCTTGGTAAGTTAGCTGTGTTAGCTAGTTAGCTAATGTTAATGTTGAAAGCCGCCCTACTTCATATGAACTGCAACATTTTCGATTTTGTAATGCATGTTCTCTGAAATCGTTAATGGAGTTGGAACAGAGAAGCAAGTAACAAAGTGTTAAGAGAACAAGTTTGTCACACACACTGAGGAATATCTGCTCTCAGAGAACATCAGGCCTCTCACAAGAGCACAGAGATGCTGACTTTCCTCCGTTTCAGTAAAGACCTGTGACTGTAGAATTTAGTTGCAGCAGATCGTAGACAAATTTAACATTTAAAATTAGACTGATGTTTTTATTTACTTGATTAAGGGAAACTGATTTAGTTTTCTTTATTTTTATTGCTGCCACTTTGCACATCCTTGGCTTTAAATTCTTGATAAAAGACAAAAGATTTTTTGTTTATATTTGGTATTAGCAGGAAAGTTAATTAAAACAGTGAATTTTTGAAAATGTTATTCATCTTTATTGTCTTCATTGTTAGTTAGCAAATGCATAAAACAACCTCAAGCCAAATTTAAAAGCTGATAGCTACATAAGACTTCTTTGGTAATTGAGCAATTCATAATCCGAATAATCGATTATTCGACTATCAAATTAGTCGTTTGTTGCAGCCCTAATCATCAGTACTTAAGGAACACTGAACTGCATGTTTCATTATCAACAGAGCTTAATTAGTCCAGTTCTAGATTTAATTCAGTGCAGTATGTAAGATGTTGAATAAAAATGATTACACTTACTATTGTAGCATTTTATTATTATACAAATGTTTGATAGGATTTTTTAACCAATACTAGTTTCTTTATTTGTCTGTTAAAATATATCAAACCTTAAAAAGCTAGATATCATGATATGTTCTGTGTGTTTCTTGACGTATCGTGGCCATATAGCCCAGCCCCACTGGAGAATCATGAAAACTGCTAAAAGTTTGTCAAATTTTTGTTGCATGTGTACTCTGTCCAGCTTCTGACAAGCAAACGAACAAAATATCTACCATACCCAGTACAAAAGTCAAAGACCAGCAATGGCCATTAAGCATAAGTTTTTCAATTTTTAGCATCAGAAAAAAAGCAAACATACAGAACTGTACAAAAGTCTTAGGCACCTAAGCAAGTTACTTAAAATGATTTACCTGATGAGAATAGGTAACATTCACAGAGTAGAGGGTGAGGTCCCGAGACTACCATATCTACAATTGGTCAGAGGAATCTGTTGGACCCGATCATTTAGACTGTTGATTCACCGCATCATAATTTTCATAAAGTCATAACTCTTAACTCAATTTATTGCTTATCACCCCACTGCGGCGTCACTTGTTGCTTGTCTCCAAATTGGAGCTACAAGTCAGCCACTTTGATATTAAATGACTTGTCACCCATTACTCCATTGCCTGCTAATGGCAAAGCAGGGTTAGACTTATGTGTAATAATAACTGAATAATGCAACGTCATAAACCTAACCTTGACCTTAACCTGTGTAAATAAAAGAAAAAAAAAAACAAAAAAATGCAGTCAGTTGTCCATTTATCCTCTGAATCTTCGTTTTAAATCACGCTGGGTCCATTTGGTCCCCACAAAGTGTGAAATACATGCATACATGCACATACACTCACAAGCTTTCCCTGATCGTGGATATCAATTTGGTGTGACAGGAAATCTCTGATTTATATACTGTACGTATCAGGGTCGGCCAAGACGGAAACACACACACACACACACACACACACACACACACACACGAAAGCTGGGAGTCAGTCTTTGGAACGGACTGAACTTCCTCCACAGTCGCAGCTGTAAGGGTTTATCTGCCACTGCAGTGTCCAATGGGCTGACGACTCAGCAGATAGAAGCAGCAGTATAACTTCTCCAGAGGGGGCTAACACATGGGAAAAGAATGGAGGTATAGCGCTTCAGCACAGCACGCTCTCCCCTCATTACTGCCGCGGCTGTTTACACTGGCTATAAAGTGTTATTGGATTTTGTGTTGTGTTCAGCAGTTTGTCCAGGCAGGAGTGCAGGAGGAATGAAAAGGCCATATGGGATATGAAGAGAGCAGCACTACAAGCTGGTCCACTCCATTCAGTGGATACATTAAAGGGATAGCACAACCAAAAATCAAGTGTTTCCCACCTTATCCAAAGTCGGTTAGCCAAGAATTTTGCACTGAAGCTAACAAGTAATGAAAACTTGTGCGTACCAATTAGCATAATAATCTCCAACTGCTTATGGGCTTGAAC